ATAATAATAGAAGATAATTAATTATAAGACGTTTTACGTGTAAAAAATATTTTTTCTTAAATTTAAATTTATTATTTGCTAAAATTAACACGTAAAAGACTGGAAGTAATAAAGAAAGCGATAAATTATTATTGCTATTATCATCATCATCAATATCATCTCATCGTCATTATTATTATTATTATTATTATTATTGTCTATAGGTATAATATAATAGGGAGAATGCGTTTTTTTTTTTTTTACAATTGGCAGGTTGCAATAAAGAAAAGAAAACCCCTAATTTTGCTATTAGAAATGTGCGATGAAAGAAATGAGCGGCTCATATTATTTTTTGTTTTGTTTTGAGATTCGAGTTCGAGATCTAATATTTTACTTAATTAATTTTTAAATTATTACTTATCTATATATATATATCAGATGTACATATGTATGTATAAAATGAAGAAGACATCGGTGAAACTAATAGACGATATACATCGACACATGCATACACATATACAAACATACACGTGTTTCTCCTTTTTCAATACACATATATTGAAAAATGCAACTACTTCACTTATACGAATTCTATTTTTCTATACTCTCCTTTCGATATTATTATTGTTATTATTATTATTATTATTATTATTATTATTTTTTGTGTTTCTTTTTTTTTTCTTCTTTTGTAAAATAATCTTTCTGTGTTAGACACCGTATCAGAATAAAAGTATAAATATCTCTATAGTATTTTTAATACGTGATATTGGGGGTTGCGGGGAGAGGGGTGGTCGAAGGTGGGTTACCGGCTATAAATTGTTTTTCTATTTTTATTTTTAATTCTATTTTTTTTTCTTCTTCTTCTTTCTATTTCTCTCTCTCTCTCTCTCTCTTTTACAAACATACACACATATACATGCATACACATTTTTGCATTTTTATCTACATTTTCATCGTCACATGTATATCGTTTATACGTTGCATGTAAAAAGAAAAAAAGAAAGAAAGAAAGAAAGAAAGAAAGAAAAAAAAAAAAAGAAAATTTATTTCTCCTACCACATTTTTATTTATAATTCCTCTTTTACGTTTTTTTTTTTGTTCCTAAATAAGATACTTATCGTTTCGTAAGTATATTAAATGCACCAACAGCATTGCATCAACCAATCAACCCACGGACGTGTGGTATACACAAAGATAACGATTTGAAATCGATTTTTAACGAGAAGAAGGGTGGTTCCTTTACATCATGTATAAAGAAAAAAAAAAAAAAGAAAAAAATATTTATTATAATCACAGAGAGGACGGAAAAGGGGTTGTTGTGTTCTCTCTTTATGTATGATGATGATTGTGCGTGTAATATTGTTAATAAATCGAGATTATGCTTATGAGAAAGATTCTTTTTTTTTGTTTTTATTCTCGTAAGTTTTCTGCGTGAATCGCGAATCCTTTTTTTTTTTTAATTTTTACACAGTTGTTCTTTTTTTAACGAGAATAATGTAATAAGAGCGAAAAGAAAAAAATGATTTACGATATAGTTAAATATAATTTAATAATATTGTAGATTTTATATTGGAATGATTATATTATATTCTTTTTTTTTTTTGTACGTGAATATATATATGTATATTTATTTTTGTAGTAAAAAATATGTTGGTATAGGTAATA